CGACTTATTCGAAGTAAAATATCTAGAATCTTAGATTTCTTCAGTTGTCTCCGCAACGGTAAGAGATAGAAACGTATAACATACTACGTTCGAAAAGTGACAACATACCGTATCTACTGTACGTGAGCTCCTTTTTCTATTTCTTTCCGTTCGCGACTTATTCGAAGTAAAATATCTAGAATTTTAAATTTCTGCAATTGTCTTTGCAACAGTAAGAGATAGAAACGTATACCATACTGCTTTCGAAAAGTGACAACATACCGTATCTACTGTACGTGATCTCCTTTTACTATCTCTTTCCGTTCGCGACTTACTCAAAGTAAAATATCTAGAATCTTAGATTTCTTCAATTGTCTTCGCAACGGTAAGAGATAGCATCGTATACCCAAACGCCGATGTGGGCAGACATGCCGCGGAAAATTACTGTTAACGACAGGTTTGGCCCGACCACCTCCCGCAGTGCCTCGCGTTCACTACTCCACGGGGCACTCAGCGAGCGTGTGACGCGCCGTATCGACGGCTGCGTCACATTGCTCACAATTCGGCAACCTTTTTTTGCCGATGCGATGCAGATGCTCACCGAAACTTTCATGTCCGGTGAGCATCTGAGTAGTCCTGTATGTTAACTGTCCGCGATGTGGCCTGTTCACCCACCGGCGGAGGACAGGGCCCAAAGCGTACCGGATTTCCGGGCTCGGCAGTCGGGGATCGCGCACCTGGGCGCGCCACTGTCGCACCATGGTCCTGCGCGCTTTGCGTCGTACTTTCCCAATGTCCGGGGGAAGTGGGTCGTCCGGGGGGTGGTTACGCACCTCTTCAAACATCCGTTTCAGGTACGCCGCCTGCAGCTCATGCGGCGGAAAGCGCGCGAGCATACTAGCGGCTACATACGACACCGTCCTGTACGCGCATACAAGGCGCCGAACCATTGCTCTTTGGAGCCGGCGAAACGCAGCTCGTGCCCACATTCAGCGGGCAAGATTGTCGGCCCACACCGGGGCCCCATATAGAACAATGGAACTTACCACCATGGCGTACAGGCGGCGACGACGCTCGCCCGGTCCATGCAAATTTGGCATAAGCCGTCCAAGGGATGCGGTCACCCGTTCGCCACGTTCCAACACCGCTTGAAAGTGAGCCCGGAAGGACCACTGTCCATCCACTAGTAGCCCGAGGTACTTGATATGCTGGCGGATGGGCACATGTGCTCCAGCCAGCTGTATCCCCTCGGGTCTTGGTGGTGGCCGATAAAGGCAACCACCTCCGTCTTTTAGGGGGCAACTCGAAGACCCAGGCGCCGGATGGCGCGGACCAACATCTCGGTGCCGAGCATGGCCACATTCACCGCCACCGCTGGCAATCGCCCCTTCGCAATCAAAAGGGTGTCGTCCGCATAACATATCAGGCGACACCCCGGAAGAAGTTCCTCCCGCAGAACTTCATCGTAAGCGATGTTCCACAGGAGTGGTTCTAGGACCGACCCCTGCGGAACACCGCACACCATACGTCGGTGGTGGAGAGCCCCACCTTTGCCGACGTACGACATCCACCGATCACGAAGATAGTCTCCGACAATAGCCCGGACATAGTCCGGGAAGTCCCGGCACTCCATGGCTGACAAGATGATTTGCCAGGAAACGGAGTTGAAAGCGTTAGAGATGTTTATACTGACAGCAATTGCCACTCCGCCCCTGGCCACAATCTCTTCCGTGTATCGCCGGAAACGCAAGACGGCATCAACCGTCGAGCGGCCCACCCGAAACCCGAATTGTGCGTCATCCAAATCACACCCCGGCTCACTTAGATGGCGATGGATGCGGCTGGCCACGATACGCTCCAAAAACTTCCCCATCTCGTCCAGCAGGCATATGGACGACGACGGCTGATCGTCGAGTTTGCCCGGTTTTTGCAGCAGGACGAGACGGGAGCGCTTCCACACGTCCGGGAAACGCCCTTCCGAGAAGCACCGCGTAAAACACTCTATATAGCGTTGCTTCATCGGAGTAAACGCGTGGGCGAAAATCAGGTTTGTTACGCCATCAGGGCCGGGGGCTACAGTGCCAGAGCGGACGTGCCGGAGGGTTCCACGTACTTCCCCCATCGTAACCGCTAGGTCTGGCGACCAGTCGCCTGGCAGGACCGCCTCTCGAGGAGCCTCCACCTCTCCTCCCGGGAAGAGGGTGTCCAATACGGTGGCCACCGTTTGAGGGTCGAGGGTTTCCGTGAGTGGGGGGGGCCGATGGTCGCAATCGGTTCATAACAACCAGGTAGAACCGCCCCCACGGGTCGTCCTCGACCGAACTGAGCAGTTCCTGCCAGGCGCGGGTCTTTGCGGCGCGGATAGCTCCGCGCAGAGTTTCCCGCGCATTGCGTAGGTTGGCTTTCAGGCGCGCAACCTCTGCTTCACCCACTCGCGAATCACGTCGGTGCAGAATTCGACGGTTGCGGATGCACGCTCTGCGGAGTTCAGCAATGTCATCATTCCACCAGTACACCGCCCTGTGCTGGTTCACCCCCCCGGACACGGGGGGACATTGTTGTATCACATGCTTCCGTGATCATCCGCCGTAGTTTTTCGGCAGCCTTCTCGACCGTGTCGGGTGGGAGAACTTCCAGCGTAGCATGCCCTCGGAGGATCTCCTAGAAGGTGTCCAGGTCTGCATCTGCCCTCTGCCACCGCGGGAAGTAGGACGTGGTGCGGTCCAGATGGGGGCGTATGTCCCTCCCCACAGAGAAAAGGACGTAGCGGTGGTCAGACAGAGACTCGGTTTTCACAGCCACTCGCTAGTCCCGCGCCGTTCGACGGACCGTAGAGGAAGCCAGCGTTACGTCGATGACAGAAGAGCCCTGCTCTCAGACGCACGTCGGAACGGTGCCATCGTTTAACCCTTTCGCGGCGGAGCGCTCAGAAATGAATTGCGCTCTAAGCAGCCGGCGTGACGGTGGAAGGTCGAACGCGCGGACAACACGATACGCGAGTCGTTCCTAACGCGGTGTGCAGAGCCGATTTTACTGGTCATTTCCTTGAGGCTGTTGGCCGGCGCGCCAATCAAACAATAATATTAATAATAACTAATAATAAGTGAACGGCGCCAAAAGGCGCTGTTTGCTCGGAGCGAGCGTCTATAGCTGAGCGCCAAAAGGCGCTGTTCGCTCGGAGAGAGCGTCTATAGTTGAGCGCCAAAAGGCGCTGTTCGCCGCGAAAAGGTTAAAGGGGCAAGGTTGATGCTGTCCGCCCATGACGCCAGCAGCCTTCCCCGCCGATCCCAGCGTACGCTCCCCCACTCCGGGTACTTGGCGTTGAAGTCTCCGGCTACAATCACCGCACCGGGCAGGTGCGGGCGCACTGCCACGCCGAGACTATCGAGATATCGTTCGAATTCCGCCAAGTCCCGGTTTGGGGAAAAGTAGCAGGAGAAGACGACCCACTTGCCGATTTTTATTGCCACAAACCCCTTTCCGGCACCGATCAGTCGACAGAGATTGGGGCAGCTACAAGGGCGCCAGTGAACCGCGCAGAGACTGTCCGTGCTGCCCGCCCAGTGTGGACGGTTCGGAACTGTGTGGAGTTCCGAGAAAACAGACACACCCACCTCTTCCTCCACACAATACTGTAGCGCCAGGTCCTGAGCCGGTCGAGACCGGTTCAGGTTGGCCTGCAGGAACCTGGCCATTACTCGGTTGTTGGTGGCGCGTTCACTTCCATCTCTTCAGCCGCAGCGGACTTCCGCTCCGGTTGCGACTAAAGAACCTCACGCGGCGACGAGCGTGTCGCCGGTACTGTGGCTTTACACTGACCGCTACCAATCCGGTGGTCAGCACTTTTCCCTAGTCCGGTGCACGCAGAGCACTGAGTGGGGTTGTGACATTCACAAGCTTTGTGGCCGGTCTCCCCGCAATTGTAGCACTCCCCACTTCTGTCCGTTGGGGCTGTGCACTGCAAGCGCGTGTCCCGACCGGAGACAGCGGAAGCACTGCAACTTCCGAGGTTGCAAGAGCTCGACGCGTGCCGAGGACCACCCAAGACGATTGCGTCCCGCCTGGGAGAGAATGGAAAATCTCCGTGTAGGACGTACGGGTCCTACCCTAATATTTTCGAGGTCACACTCAGTTGCTGCTGCAATGGTAGTTTTGACATCGTGTTCCTTGATCGAATCTTCTATCCCATAAATCCAAAGCTCCGCCATTTGTACCGGGCGGCCAATGCAAACGTCGTCCTTATGGTCCGCCAACACTTCACGCATGGCCGCCGCTAGGGCGTCAACCTTGGCGTGTCCCTCTGCCCCGGGGATTTCTATTACGCCCCCGGTCCTCGCACGTCGGGTACTGATCTTGTCAATCCCTATCTCCGTAAGGTTTACCTGTTGGCGAACCTGGCCGAGGGCAACCTTGTTACTAACGGCATCGCCTATGCACGTTAGAGTAATCGCGGCCGTACGGAGCGGTCTCCTACGCGGTTGGAAAAAGGGTCGCCTTCGGGACGACGATCACGGTCGACCTTCAGATTTCTGACGAGCTCCTGGGCCCGCTGTCGATGGGCCAACCTGCGTTTGTCCTGTGGATTGTCCGCAGCGGGTGACCGTTGCCCATGTGTCCTGCGGGAGAGGCTGACTCCCTTCTCGCAAAACCACCTCCGGCTGAAACGCAGAGGGAAGGGGCGGACCTAATGCACGGACCGGTGCGGCCGCAAGCCCCTCCCTATTACGTTTGCGCCTGTGTTACGTCCGAGTGTTCAAGGTCACGGTTCGACAAAACCGTTTACTCTTGTCGAACGTTTGTTCTCCCTTTATGGTCAGCCGTACTGGCTTTACCGGGGCGGAGAATGAGGATTTTC